TCAAGGATACGACGTTTCCGAGCTTCAAACGGCGAGAATCGACGTTTGAGCGGTGGGAACGTCGCGGGCGCTCGGATCCGGCGGTTCCGCGCTTCGCACGTCGAGTTTCGACGTTTGAATGGTAGAAACGCCGCGAACGCAAGGATATGTTACGTCTCAAAAGGGTTGCTTCTCAAATATTTGTTTATCAATGATTGAAAGTAATAATTGAAATTACTGTCAATCTTTGGTTGAGCGGATTAATAAAGAAATCACGAAAAATTCAATTATAAAAGAAAACCGCTGCCACCATTTATCTTTACTTTACTCCCAAGCCAATCCTTTTAAATTTGAACATGAAAGACTTACCTTCTCAATGGATGCCTCGGCTCCACAGAGACGGGTGCTCTCTATATTTAAGGGCTACCTATGCGGCAATACCCAGGGGTGCGAGAGCTAGAGACGATCTGAGACGAAGGGATTGAGGTGGTGAATGAATATCAACTCAGTAATAATCCTTTTATTGGATTTCGGAAAGCGAAGAATATTTTATTTATTTAGCTGATTTCACAACCAATTGATGAAACAGACTTTGACCGATCGGTGTTAAATGTCCGATGGCTACTCGAATGTTATCAATTGAATGTGTTCTACCGTCGATAAAGTACCGTTATTAAATACGTTATCCACCAGGTTACCTCTGTCGGTAATGTATCGAAGTGATTCAGAAGTTTCTTCAGTCGGTAATATATTGCTGTAATTCGAAGATGTCTTCAGTCGATAATGTGTCGACGCTAGATAGGTTATCCGCAAGGTTCCTTTGTAACCGGACTTTTCGGCTATCGGACAACGAATCACGAAGCCCTCAATTCACGCAGGCCCTTCTGGCTCGTCTTTTCGTGATTCTTGCAATTTTAACGTTATTTAATTAGTGAAAGCTTTAATGGGCGAGTACCGACTTTGACAAATATAAAACCGTGTATGTTTTAATGCAAATTCTTACTTTTATTCGGTCGCCACCTTGTTTGACCTCAGGAACAAGGAAGGTTGAATACTCAGGAAGCTGCCGTCGGACGTCCTTCCCG